GAACGCACATGATTATTCATTTTAATAATAATTAATTAAGTTTTTCAGAAAATTTCCTAAATTTTTTTTATCAAGTACCTTTTTAAGTAATTAATTATTATAAGTTTTATTGTAAATTTCAAATAAATAAAAGATTTTTGCATATTTTTACATATTTTCATGATTTTGACTCCATATTTTTTGCATATTTTCATGATTTTTACTGCATATTTTTTGCATATTTTCATGATTTTTACTGCATATTATATGGCATATTTCAATACTTTTAAGTGCATAAAAATCCGCGCTCTAGACATCACCTTTTTCATTACATCTATATTCTCAATGTTGGACGATAGGCATATATTTATTTGATTGAAATTTTAGTCAAGTTCCAGAAACAAGTATAAAAAACAATTACATGCATAATTTGTATGAGCTGTAATCATAACATTTATAACTTTTTAATGTCTTGAACTTATATTGCACATTTATTCATACATAGGCACACCCACATGTAAACATTTAAAAACTTTACCTAACCATTGATCTTCTCAACAAATTTGCATACATATTGGAACCCTTACCATTCATTTTTAATAATTTAAATTAGTCATATTTAGTAACATAATAAATATTATAGGTAAATAAGTATACATATTATACTACCCCTGACATCAACAATATAGGTACCTAATAATAAATTGTAAAAGTCTAAATTGTCAAGTATGTGTGTCAGTGTATATTAGGCATTGATTGGACCCATGGCGTCATGACGTTATTTATACATAATAATAATATATAAGTTCAAGATTGTCTAGCAAGTATGTAGAATACCATTGAGAGGCATTGTGTTGTAGCTAATGAATTTGAGCATTACAATATTAGTTTTGTCAACAATTAGTATTTAGTTAATTAATATGTTATCATATGTTCAAGCTTAAATATAATATATAATTTGTAAATTATATACATTTCAAGACTTATTTTACAAACATTTGTTATTTAGTTCTAACAAACTTACTTCGAAAAATTGTATATCAATCTAACAATTTGAAATTTCAATCAACCCATTTTAAGTAATAATAATTAAGTTAATATTTTAGACTCATGATCATACATTTAGTTAGGTACCTATGAAAAATTATGTAAATATTATATTTTTCAGTCGACAACGATTCTCATTTAAATCTAATTTACCAGACATATCTTTTATTGATGGCTCGCTCATTATTATACATATTATACTGATAATTACTAAATGACAATTGTAAAATTAAAATAAAATTTCATGTTTGAGGCTTTGATGATGTTATAATAAATTATATAAGCAAGTTAATCCAGGCAGTATAGGTTTATTGTCTCCTACTCATTTTAGTACTCCAATCAAAGAAGAAAATGAAATGTAGATTTTATAAAACAAAAATTTAAAGAAAAACAGAGCATAAAAAATAATATGTACATGCAAAATAAGCAATTGAGATTAAAATTGAAATCTTATGATCAGCTCATTATGGAATAGGTACTTAGAGAAATAAAAATCTCAAATCTGAAAACGCTACAGGTCTGTTCTATATTAAGTTTCAAGCATGACCAAATAAGCACCCACTACGCTTGTGTAAATTAATATTCAATATAATATATAAATTTATAATACTAACAGTATGTCGGTGTGCTGAGTATATCATAGACTTTAGTATAATGTAGTAGTAAGTACTAAGTTGATCCTAGACTAGTATATTAGACTGTATGAGTGTATGACGTATATTATAATTGATGTGCATCTAGAAATAATTGATTATAAATACCTAGAGTAAATTCTCTATTCAAGCTCATCTATGTTTATAAATACATATGTGGTTTAGTTGATGGCTTGCGGAAGTTTAGTTGACATTATAAAAAAAAAAACTGAGTGGTAAGAAAGTGAGTAATTTTTACCAGCATTTTAGCTGTTTGAGTAAACAGTAACTGGAAGTTGTCACTTGGTCATTTCTCGATAAAAAGGTTGAGGAGTTTGAGGTTGGGAGTGAGCGTGCTAATATTTTGTCAATATGTTTAGAGTTAGAAGTAGTTAGAACTCAATTATATTTGACGGAAAATAAAACCAGAAGTGTTTAGACGTAATTCTGTATTCCAAACAGATGCATTGAATAATCATATAAAAATCAATTATTGTTTATGAATTATTAAAATTTCCAATTTACACTTATGTAAATTTAGGATTAAAACATAGCGCAAATCAACAACAACAAAATAGAGTAGGAGTGAGAAAGAAACTTGCAAAATCAATTCTATTTAGAAATGAATAGGTAGGAAAATATTTTTATTATAAGTAGTACCTACCCAGACTAATTATATCTAATCGTGTTGTGTGTTATAATTATATTATTATACTCAATATTTTATTGTATTCATTATAGGTACTAGGCGTAATGCAGTCCTACCAAGTAAATAAGTAAGTCAACGTAAACACATTTTGAATAATTGTCGCGTGCGGCGTACGGTATTTCTATTAACCTTACAAACTTACAGAATGAAACACCGACTTCAGCACCAAACCTTAGCACACATGGTAAAAAGTAACAACAACGATATGCCACTTAAAATGGTGGTCGGCCGTCGGCGGAGAAGCGAGAAGTGAGAACGACAAATAACAGGGGAGCAAGCACAAAGTCGAAACCGTTAGTAGTAATGTAATTTAATTACCAAAAATAAGAAACTTCCCCAACACTGATATACATACTATATTATGTTAACCATATACCTAATCCAGTTAAAGGAATACAAATGAGTTCACCCCCAACCCCCTTTAACAAAACTGCGTACGACACTGTGTCATAACATAGAATTACTTTAGTACATTTTGGACATCAAAAATAAAATAGGTACCTATCACAATTTATAACTATGGTAGATAGTTTATGGGTAATTAATGTATAATATCGTTCTACCCTATTAAACATTACACAGTGCAATTTATTGTTACATTATTATTATAACAATATGTGTGATGGTAGTTTTGATTTTCAGGAGAATATAATTTCACTCAAAAGAAAGAAATGTACGCTGACTATAAGCTATAAAACGTGCAGGTGATTAATATTAATTGTTGTGATGTTAAGTTTAATGATTAGTCAAAGTAATAGGTATAAAATAAATCATATGCCTAACAATTAACAGAAAAAATATTGGTCTCATTTGAAAAAAATAAATGTGTATCACAACGGGACACTGCTTAAATGGTATAGAAATCTATAAAATTTAAAATAATATGGTCTATGAGCATATTTAAAATTATAATTTGAATACATTTATTATTAAAGGAAAAAATGAGGGTGAGCATGCTGGTAAATCCCTCTGTATATTTTCGTATTTAGTTAACTGGCTCAATTTGAATTGAAATGTATTCCAGACATACCTAGTAAGCGTATAAAATATCGTATCCAAGGAAATGGTGAACTAGTATTAAACTATAATTTATTTGTCTTTAATCCCGAGTTATAATCTGTGTAACGAATCAATTATAATTTGATATAACTTTCGTACCTACTATTCAGATGTCTTCGACAAATCTCATGAATTCGAACAAGGGACGTGCGGGCTGCCATTACGCAGAAGTCCATTGACTAGGCCGTACTCTTTTTAATGGGTTCCGGGACATTTGCGGTCGGCACATTTGCGGTCGGCACCTTTTGCGTGCCATTTGCGGTCAATTTATTTTTATCTACCTGACTATAAGATTTGGGTGCTATATATAATATTTTATATACTATATATACTTAATTTATGTTAATAGGTTTAATATTATAATACTTTTTTACTATAATCGATATAGTTATATACTTGTCAAATATATTATATTTAAACTTCCCTTCACACTTTTTTTAAGCATTTTTCTAAATCATTATCTAATTCATAGACTACTAATGTTTTTCTAATTCTTTCGTCTAATTGTATGTACATTTTTTTTCTCCTTTTGCCTTCCATAGTCTGATAGTCAAGAAGCTTCTTTCATATAAAAGTTCCGCATTTTCAGTCTATTTTTTAAGACAACTACCTATATAAGTTCATAAACGTTGGTCTCGGTGTATTTAATATTTTATTAAGTTTACTATTCCAACCCTCAACAATATTATTGGTTCTGTGTCTTCTTTTATGACAGTTCCACATTCCCCTTGAAATAATTGGATTTTCCAACCACTGTTCAATAAAATAAGTTTATGATTATCGGGTGTGTTACTCATTATAATATTCCAACCTTCACCTATGTGACTAATTGGAATATGAGCTAAAGCAGAACACAATGAACACATTCTAACGTGTAATCGAATATCTGCATTATTTTTATAGGTACTTGCTAATCCAATATTTTGAATTTTTCTCCAAAGTGCTTGATTAAAATAAAAGTTGCAACAGTGTATTTTAGCACTAGGAAATATTTGTGTAATTGATTGAATAGTCGAGATTTCAAAGTCTAATGGAAAAGATTAAGGATTAAAATTTGGAATATGTGTTTTAACCATCGAAAATAAACGTTCGTAAATCATTTTTGTTTTATTCGGAAGTAATATATATATCACAGGTATTATATTTATTTCTTCGTTCGTAGACCCAATATCTATATGTATAGTGTAAATTTGGTAAAATTGTTTACTACAACTTTTAATGCCGACGATGTTAAACATTTTAAAAATAAAATAAAATATACGTAAACGTTATCACCTTATCGATAATGACATCATTTTTTTATAATAATTATAATAAGGTTTTAAAAAAAATTAGGGTATTATTTTTATGTAAATACAGTGAATTTTGATTGACAAGTATATAATTATATCAATTAGAGTAAAAAAGTATTATAATATTATACTTATTAACTTAAATTAAGTATATAGTATATAAAATATTATATATAGCACCCAAATCTTATAGACAGGTAGATAGAAATAAATTGACCGCAAATGGCACGCAAAAGGTGCGGACCGCAAATGTCCCGACCGCATCGGTGCCGACACCTTTTAATGCTATTGACACCAGCTGAAACTGCTGAAACGAAAATTCAAGCGCCGTCTGCCACGACAGCTAAGTCGAAATCCCTACCCGCAGAACTCAATGTAGCCGTGCCGGTCACTTGTGTGGATATGCAGGGTACCGCGGATGCTGCGATAAAGGACCAGGTGGTGATCACGAACACGGAGGTCAAACCTAGGAGCCGACCTCTTATCGTGTCTTCGACAATTTCATTGAACGACATGGATTTGGCCAAGAGTCGTGCGAGCTGTTACGGCAGTTACGCTCAAGTCGACTGAAAAAAGTCTATTTTTCCTTGCCATCCGTGTTGACGACACCCGAAACGGCAAACCGAGTGCCGTCCGCCACGAGTAGTCCTGACGATGGAGTTGAAAACCCTGACCGGACTATGGAATGTAGCGATTCCGGTCACCTATGTGCAGAAACTGCAGGACACAGATGTGGAAATAACGGACTAGGTGGTGACCACGAACACGGAGGTCAAACCTATAAGAGCCGATCTTTTGGAAACGTACTAAGAAATTCTTCAGACGCTTATTGTGCTGCACGTATTATAGTCCCGAGCAATTATTATTGCTGTTGTGCCATTGTAGATGCTGCTATATAGAATACTAGCTGAATAACCCGGCTTCGCCCGTGTACAGTTTTTTTTTTTTTTTGTATAAGCTGTTTTTTTCTGATATTATTTGTAAATCTCTTCCGTCGTTTTTTAGTATGCTTCTGAGAGCTGGGTATGTTATCAAACTCATCAGATACAGAGTTAGTCAATTCATCTTCATATGGTAAATAAACATCAAAATGCCCATTAGATAGGTTTTGCATAGAACTAAAACGAAATCTCTTTACGGGGTTCCTTTCTGAACCAAATTTTTCATACAGTTCACCATTGAGGTACACCTCAATAAATACCAAAAATAATTGTCCGGCTGCCACCAGCTCACATAAACCTCCATAAGTATTAAATTTTAACATATCACTAAAGTAGTCAGCAGAACTACGATAATTATTTCCATCACTATCATGTGACATTATTGAATAATCTTCCCAATTATTTATCACATGGGTTACTATCTTTTTACGTACTTCTTGGGCCTTATCTTGAGTGTCATATAACACAAAAGATATTGCCCTAAACAGGCAAGCTCCGTCACCAATAATTGGAATGATAGTGTGGGACTTCATTATGCCATTTATGTTCAATAATTCGACAACCATATTAATTATTTTTTATTAATTTGTAAGTATGTAAATTTTATTTTAATACACTTCAATGTTTATAAAAAACCGTACATAAACAAAAAAAACAAACATGCCCGATTAACCATAGATTATACTGTATTAGCCAGTACATCGAGCTGATGTATTAATTGCCATAGAGATGTCTAAATTGTTATTATCATATCAATATAAATTATTTTTATTTTTAATTCACTCATTTTAATACCAATATTGTATATTTAAATTAAATATTGCTTGATAGATACCACGAGGGTATAGGTACAATTTATAACTTGGGTCGGCAGAGTCCTACCTCCACCTCCACGTGGTGCCGACTGGAAACGGAATTCCGGTTCCAGCCAACGGGGGAGGCACAGAACGCAACTGTATAAAACCGAACACCGGCGGGTCAACACCAGCGACCAGAGAGGGCCAATATCGCCATCCAACTACCGACAACACAGACCGAAGGCTCGATGCATAGACGACCGGGAAGGTTAGACGGGGACCCAACGGCTAGTACACTCAGCGCCTCAGTATCATTATCCGAAACTGTCCCACAGCGGAAGGCGTGCCCCGGGGCATTAGTAGGATGCCCACCGACGGTTGGTCACCGTCCGGGTGATCTTTGATCTGAGAAAGGGCTGTGGGTCGAACGCCTCAAGTCTCCGCCGACCGGACACTCAACGCACCGAGCAGCACGAACCAACGGACGGAGTAACCAGAAGCAAAACTGAACAAACCCATACCGGCAGTCCACGACCAGAGAGGGCCAACCTCGCCCCCATCCGACACCAACAACAGCCGAGGACGGATTCCGGGTGACGAGCGGAAAGAAGCAGAACAACGGTGTAACTCTCCACACCCCGAAAACTCAGCCGAAACTGTCGACAGTGGGTTGAGGGCCCGCTGCGCAGGAGTAAGACACCCACAGCACGACTTGCCATCGTCAGGGTGACTGAGGAAGTAGGAGCTGCAGACGCAGACACCTACGTGACGCAGCGACTCGAGCGGATCCCGAAACGACGACAGAACACAAGGACGGAGACAGAAGGAAAACTGGGAAACCGACAACGGTGAGGAGCACCCTCCAGAACACCATAAGGAGAAGGATGCGCAGTACGAGTCTCGAGGCCGGCTGGCTTCCAAGAACACAGGAACATGACTTTCCGACTGGCGGGCACCAAAGCCGGGCCGGGAAGTCAAAAAATTCCCGTCTTATCTTAATTTTTGAAATTACTGAGAATTTTACTTTTAACCTCCCAAAAGTACCAACTAGAATCGCTTGACTACCGGAAAAATGCTAAAGCTGAAATTCAAAGCATTTGTACTTCCCTAAATAGTAAAGACAAACACACAAAAATCCACATAATAGTATCATTATAAAACCAATACATTCACCGCTCAGCTCAAAATCTATATTACACTGCAGGGTGCAGAGTACACAAGTCTGAAAACTCATTTTATGGATTAGAAAAAAATCTAGTGTATCCATATCGTTAATTAATATTGAGTAGGTAGGTAGGTACTTAACTACTTCAGACTTCATAAAAAAAATGTGCTACCTACAACATATTTAAAAAATAATGTGAAAATAATCCTGTTATCATAGTTATTGAAATAATATTATTGGGTTATTTTATGTAAATTATATTGTAGTTAAATATGTATCAATTGTTCAATTTTTATGGCTAAGGATTGAATATTTAAAACAAGGTTCCACGTAAATAGTTTATACTGTATCCAAAAATTCTATAATATTTATACAAACACAGTTTTTTTTAATAGGCATTTTAAGTTAAATATGAATGAAATAAGATATTTAAACGAAGAACGACGAATTTAGTAGTTTTATTGTAATTTAAAAATGGGTACCTATTTTGAAGCTTTCAAAATGTATTAATGTATTATTATTTTTTATATACACAATTAAATTTTCAAATGCAATATTTAACGCAAAAATTAATTTAATCTACTATAATACTAATACCTAATAGTAAAATAAATTTCTTTCAAGTCTGTAACCATAATGAAAAATAACATAAAATATACTAGTATTATATTAATTCAGACTGACTTCGCACAGAATCGTTGTTAGTATAAAATTATTTTATATCATTGGATTCAAATCCACATAATATCCATTGCAGAGAATTTTCTAGTCACCATTCTTTTGTACCTACAGGCTACAACAGAGTGTTACCAACTTGACAGTTTTTTTATATTGATTTAATAACTTCTATAATTTTCTAACAACTACTAACTAGTTAAACTATCGATTTTAATAATTGTACTTAAATATTTCCAATTAATTTGAAAAATATTACGTTGTGATATATATTACTATAATTTATTTGCATATCCAAAAATAATCAGTTAATTTTGTTTTTCTTTATAAAAAAAAGTGTACATAATATATCTTTTTATAAGTTGTCTGGCTAGTGGCTTTATTGTAAATAATTGTAGGTACCTACCTATATCGCTGACAATGATATTTTAACAAAAATACCTATTTACATGTGCAACGATTAGTAAATTTAAGATTTAATTAAGATTTTCCAATTCCGCCCTATAAGAGCCAATTATTTAGACTTTAGTTATTGCTCTTGTCAAATGATTTATTCATTCATAAATTTGGTACCAAATAGCAATTACTATACCAAATATCCAAATACATTATGTATAAATGTATAATGATAGCGTACATTGTGAACATTTAATTATTAAGTATACCTATAGGCTATACCTAAAAAAAAAAATAATATTTATTTTACCTATGTGATTATGTGATAAATTACATAGAATAATATTTGAAATTATCATATATTCAATAACATACAATTTGTAAATGTATTGGTTTTCACTTTTCCTTAATTTGATAGTTATATTAAAATTGTATGGTGTTTTCAATTTTGTAGATTGTAATAATACTTGGTGGCCCTAAAAAGGACCGTTTTAAATTAAAAAAAATAATAACGCACGCACATAGGTTTTAGAATAGCACGTCTAATACGCTTAAGCTTTCTTTTCGGTCTTTTTGGGCAAGAGAACGGCTTGGATGTTGGGCAACACACCACCTTGAGCAATAGTTACTCCGGACAACAACTTGTTCAGCTCCTCGTCGTTTCTGATAGCCAATTGCAAATGTCTTGGAATGATACGGGACTTTTTGTTGTCACGGGCTGCGTTACCAGCCAACTCCAAAACTTCGGCGGCTAAGTATTCCATGACGGCGGCCAGGTATACCGGTGCTCCGGCTCCGACACGCTCGGCGTAGTTTCCTTTTCTCAGCAGACGATGGATGCGACCGACCGGAAACTGGAGTCCGGCCCGGGACGACCTGGTCTTGGACTTGCCTCCTTTCGCTTTTCCTGCTTTTCCACGACCACTCATGTTGGAAGTATATGACGTTGTAGTAGTATTATAGTAATAGTAGTAGTCACCTGGAACGGCACGACTCGAATGATACTACGGTCGGCTTCCACCCGGGTTTATATATAGTGAAATTGCCCTTAAATTGAGATGTATGAGACGTAAAAGGAAAATTTTTCGATGACGTAACATGACGAGTTGGTTATGTAAAAGGTCATAGCAATAGGTACTTTTACACAAGCAAAATATAGGGTGACCGGAGCAGATGTATATCCCCCCGAGGGGGTAGTGACTCGACGGCATAATAGCTAGGGGTGAGGTCGACCAACGAACGCAAGTAGTTGCACCCCAAAAATAGCTTAAATACGAGAGCACTACGGAAAGGGTGTCATTCGTTTGAGTCGTACCGTGCAACACAGTTCAGCAGTAAACGCAAACATGGCTCCAGGAGGAAAATCAGCAGGAAAGGCGATGAAAAAATCGTCGGGCAAAGCGCAAAAGAACATCGTCAAGGCCGGAAAGAAACGCAAGCCCAAGAGGAAAGAATCGTACGGTATTTACATCTACAAAGTGCTGAAACAAGTACACCCCGATACCGGCGTCTCCTCAAAGGCAATGAGCATCATGAACAGCTTCGTCAACGACCTGTTCGAGCGCATCGCCGCCGAATCCAGCCGACTGGCTCACTACAACAAGCGTTCGACAATCACCAGTCGGGAAATCCAAACGGCTGTCCGTCTCTTGTTGCCCGGTGAATTGGCCAAGCACGCCGTCAGCGAGGGCACAAAGGCCGTCACAAAATACACCAGCTCCAAGTAATCGAACTTGACGAGATAATATTCCATAACCTACTGCGATAGGTATTACAACACTTAAAAAGGCCCTTTTCAGGGCTACCAATTTTTGAACTATTTAGCTGCATTAAACCCGCATTTGTTACTCCCACCATTTCTCTGTAAACACCAATGGAAATAAAGGAAAGTGTCAGTTTTGAAGTGCTGATGGTTTTCCATTGTCGCTGCCATTGAATATATAGTATGCGGTTTTCATAAATATTATTGTTATTATTATCTGGCCGATATACGTCGTGTTATGTCGACTCAAATCGCTTAATTTTCATACGAGTGTTTTATTTTATTTTCCGTCATTATAGCATTGAACAATATTTTTGATTATAGTCAACCTGTCAACCATAGTTCGGTTGTCACATATTTTCACGTCATGTTATTCGTTGTTCTTTTCTTTCATTCTAAATTATAATGTATACTTTCCTGGGCCCCGATGCGAGGTCTCTCAGTACTCAGTAGGGTCCAGTTATCATATTATACATAGGTAAGTATTAATATTCTATCATTATTATTTTGAAATAAAAAATAAATAATAATATTACATTATTTTTCGACGCTAGTGTGTAAATTATTATGATATGGCAATGTTGTATAATGGCACTTAAATATATTATTATCAAAGGATAGGTACATTGTACATAATATACAATGCCGCGAATAAAATATTAATCGGATATCTATTGTAATGTTTTTAATATTCCAGGCAAAGTTTTTATTTTATTCCTTTGATGTTTGATACACATTACACCAGCCTAACCTACACTATTATAGGAGAAATAATATATTCAGAAAAGTATTAGTGTATGTACACTATCTAGTACCAACTTGATTCAGTTTCCTAGTTTCTTACCAGAAAAAATGTTGAAGTAAAAATTGGAAGCATTTCTACTGCCCAAAACGGTGAAGACACACAAAATTAAAATTAAATAAAAAAACACACATTGTAGAATCGATACCTTCATCAATACAAAATGTAAGATAAATTTAAAGTCAAGTTATTTTCTATTTTATAAACCTGTAAAACCTAATACAGTTAGGTACCTGTACTAGCAGTACACAGTACAAGTTAATTAGAAAATAAAAATAACTTAACTTGGTAACTTTATATGAAATGAATAATTACACCATTTTTGAAATCTAACAAATAACATAGTAATATATTTTAAAGGTCTTATTTGTAGTTTTAAACAAATGCATGCACCCAGTACGATTAAGCATTGATACAATGATACATAATTAAATATTAAGAGGACGTGATACCCGCCTGTATTGTCTTCGTCTTACAAGTGCAAGTGCTTAACATACCAAATTCTACGCTCAGCAGAACGTCTAGCTCTGTTGATTTAAAAATTAGAGTGAATCTTATCAAATCTAAAGGTAAGATTATTATCTAGACAACCTCATGGGCTTTTTATTATATTTAAATTTTAAAGCGAGCTATGAGTATTTTAAAATTGTAAATTGTACATCTTAAAGTACTCATAACTCGCTTAGAAATTAAAATATAATAAAATGCTCAAGAGGTTGTCTAGGTAATAATCTTACCTTTAGATTTTATAAGAGGTCAATTTACTCTAGTTATTAAATTGACGAAGCCACGAAGCTAAACGTGTTTTGCTGAGCGTAAAATGTGCTATATTATGCACTTGTAAGACGGAAACAACACATGCGGGTATTGCGTCCTCGATTTAATTCAAAATATTTCATAGCATACTTATTTAAATAATAAAATATCTATTAGATGTTGATATACACCTGGGCTAAAAAACCGAGTGTAGTTACAGTTTGATTTTGACTGCTTAAAAACTGCTTTGTAAGGTAGAGTGAGGTAGGTTATATTAATACATTATACAGGCTGTAATATTGTAACAGGAAAACTTGACAAATCAAATAAATTTTCTTCTTTTTAATGTTTTAATTTATTCTATATACATTATTTACAGACGTATATACGTATATAGGTACCAATAACTTTTTTTTTTTCTGAAAATAAAAATGTTTACATCTGATATAAATATTGTTATTAGAAAATTAGCCAATTTGAAAATCTGGTTTTTAGAAAAATATTGATCGTAGGTACCTAAAAACATTTATTTAAGTTATGTATACTTTATTTTTTACAATCTTTTTAAATCACATTATTATCGCTCTCTCTATATTGCACCCCTAACTTCTCTCTCTATAGAGTGAGCGAGCAAAGAAACAAAGTAAGTACTAAAATATAATATACAGTTCCTTCACTACTTTAATAATATGTTGTTTCTCTCAGTTATATGGATCGCCTGGGACTGTATCACTTTTACCACATTTTAATTTTTCCAACATCAACTTTTTCCAATGTTCAAATTTTCCTAATAACTAGATTTTCCAATGTTCAGTTATTGCCAATTGGAAAAAATAAACATTGGTTATAGTGGTTTTTAGAAAAAATGTGCATTGGAAAAAGTGGAATAATGGTAACGCTACCAGTTTTACCATTTACTAAATTATCCATCATACATATTTTACACAGAAACTGGAAAAAGTTTAAATTTCATTTATTACCAATAACCATTTTATCCAGTAGCGTTATTACCAGTTTTACCATTGTACTCTATTGCCAAAAGAAAATAATATCGGTGAAAATAAAAAAGGGATTATCAACATATTTTAAAATATTATTATTTATTAGTTATCACTTATCATTGTTAGTTATAATCATTAATCACTGCTGATAAAAATTATTAAATTATTAAATTAGTGACTAATTAAAAATTACAATAATATTGATAGTTATTAGTTATTAATTAGTATCTTAGCTGATAATTTTGATGTAGGCAGTGCCGCAACTACCGGGGGTGCAGGGGGTGCATTGCACCCCCAGCAGAGAATTTAGAGGGCCCCGAAGGGGCCCTCGATAATTGAAAAATACTTAAAATTATTACATAGAAAATTAGAAACTAATATAGATAATAAAGGGTGTCTATGAATAAAATATATATTATGTTCTGTTGAAACAAACATGTTACCAGTTAAAATTGACCAGGTTTCTGTGATACTGAGGTATATTGTTGTGAATTATAATGAACATAATGTGCAAATAAAGGAATCGTTCTTAGGATTTTATGCATTGATGAATCATAGCGCAGAAGGTCATTTCAACTACTTAATATTTAAAAAAAATATAATTTAGATATTACAAAATGTAGAGGACAGGGCTACGACGGAGCCTCAGTTATGAGCGGTGCTAAATCAGGGGTACAAAAAAGGATTTCTGATGTAGTTCCTAGTTCCTTATATGTACATTGTACGGCTCATAACTTAAATCTAGTAATTGCTGATGTTGCCAAAAGTTCATTAAAAATTTCTACATTTTTTGATATAGTTCAAAATATATATTTGTTTTTCAACCAAAGTGCACCTAGATGGGCATCATTAGCATTTGGTAATGATATAGCAAATCAAATACAAAAAAAAGTTTTGAAAAAAGTGTGTAATTCAAGATGGGAAGCTAGACATTCATCTGTATATGCATTAAAAGAAAATTTTATTAATGTATTGAAATCTTTGACAAATATTTCACTAACCAGCAAAAAAAGTGATGAATTAAATAGAGCAAAATCTCTTTTTAAAAAAATGCAATCTTTTGGGTTTGTTTTGCTTATAATTATTTGGGAAAATGTTTTGAAACCATTATCTGTGGTATCCAAGATGTTACAGTGCTCACAAATCAGTATCCATCAAGCCAGTGAGTTTTTGCAAATTGGTATTAATTCAATTAAAATTATGAGACATAATTATGAAGAACTGGTAGAATCAGCAAAAAATATGTGTTTAAAATGGGGAATACAATTTCAAAATGAAAATAAACGAAAAATATATTCTAAAAAACTATTTGGTGAAGTTGATGGTGACAGGAGATTGCAGGATATTATAGAGGAAAAATTTTATGTTTCAGTATTTTTACCATTAGTTGATACTGCTTTATTTCAACTCGAATATCGTTTTAAAGGACTTAAAATAGTATCAAATACTTTTAATTTTTTATTGCCACCAAATATAATAAAATTAAATGAAGCAGAAATAGTAAAATCATGCTATGATTTTATTCAGTTTTACAAAACTGACGTAACTTCCGATTTAACTAGTCAAGTTCTATCTTTAAAGGAGTTTATAAAAAACACTGATATGAAAACAATTAAAGAATTATGTTTATATTTAATAGAAAACGACCTATCATCTTTGTATAGTGAAGTTGTTACATCTTGTATTATATTTTTAAGTTTACCAGTGACTGTTGCAACGGCCGAACGATCATTTTCTAAACTTAAATTGATTAAAAACTATTTAAGAAACTAATATCTCAAGACCAATTAACCAACATAAGTATCTTAAATATAGAAAGAGCTCGCACTGAAGAACTTGATGTAGAAAAATTAATTTTAGACTTTGCCAATCAAAAAAGCAGAAAAAAAATTTTTTTTAAGTAATTTTAATATTATAAATATGTAATTTTTTTATAATTTTAAATGTATTTACTATTTTGTATAATAGTGTAAATAAGCAAATATATGTATTATGTATAATATGTAAAAATATTATGAAAAACATAAATATTTGATTTTTTTATTATAATTTTAAACGTACCTATATCAACCATTTTTATCTAGTGTAAATTTGTATTTTTTTATTTAAAAATAAATTTAAATGGTGATGGATACTTAACGTTTACAAATATATTTTTTATGAAAATATTTCGTAAAATTTTGGAAAGTAAGGGGCCCTATTATTTGGTTTGGCACCCCGGCCCTAATAACCTTAGTTGCGGCACTGGATGTAGGTTTATCCAAATATTTTCTTTTATTTGATGATTCTAAAATTAATTTATCAGCTTCCAATGATTCATCTGCTCTGATGACTTTGTCCATGTCGATGTCACTGGGTCTATATAGGAGCTTTTCTTCCTCCTTTGCTTGTTTTTTTTTTTTAAAACTGATAATTTATTAACTTTTTCTGATGTCTAGGGTTCGTCAGTTAAAAATTTGACAGCCATACTTTGGCAACACTCTCCTGTACTTTTACTACTGCATGTGCATTGCAATTTCTTCCCAATTTTGCTCACGACATGTGTCCTATTAGAAAACGCATTACATACAATGTGTACCTACAAATGAGGTGAGAAATCAATCAACTTATTTTCTAACACATAATTAGCCACTGAAATTTGTGTCATTCTATAGGAATACATTCCGAAATAAAATCCAGTCAAAATAAAAAAAAAACTCTCATGGTTATTCTAAACACCGTTTTTAGACAAATCTGCTGTCCAATATTGTCATTTTGTACTAATAAACGTTATTTAAGTACTGCTAACATTACTAAGCTCTACAGCGGGTGCTGAATGTAATTGGTCTGTTTAGGGAAATATCCATTCAAAAAACCGTAATAAACTTAAAACATGTACAACTGGAAAATTAGCATCTATTTACCATAGCCTTAGATTGCTGAAAAATATGGAAATAGATACAGAGGACCCCGTTTTCATTTCTTCTGAAATTGAAGACAACGATAGTGAGAACATTGAGATTCATGTGCAAATTGATAATAATTAAGTTTTTTTAACTTAATGTAATTATGTAGATAGTAGATGACTTACTTGTTTTTAAATTTAAAGTATATATAATTATATATATATATGTATATATGTATTTAGTATAAAATATTAATTATTAATTATTATAATTACTATTGAAAGTTGAAATGTATGTTTATTCAAAGATGTCAATATTTTATTTTCTGTTTATTAACTTACTACTATATTTATTATTTATATATTGTTATAATTGTACGTACGAAAAATTGTATAAATGTGGTTGTTTGACACAAATATAATAATAATAATTGATATGATTTATAAAATATGGTTATTATTTTAATTTGTTTATTGTTACTACTTACTAGGTATTGAAAAATGTAACCTATTTTTCTTTAACCAAGTTGTTATTTTATTTTAAGTTTATCATTACTTATTACTAACTATTAAACTAATAGAAGACTAATTCTTTTAATTTATCTTTATTGTTATTAATCAGTAATCACTGTTGAATGTTGATTATTATTAAAAGTTGACATTTATGTTCTGTCAAAGATGTCGACATTTTATTTTCTGTTTATAATGCATCATTAATAAAAAGTAAAGACTGATATTTTATATTTTTATTTATTTGTAAACAACATTGTATGTATTCATTATTTAATAGGTGTAAAAATGTTTTTTGTAACTATTTGATGGTTTTAACTTATAATACATTTTTTCCATTTAAATACAACATTTGAATTAAGGACGTAAAAAAAAGAGATTTTGACCAATTTTGACGAGTCAAAATCTGGTCAATTCTCATTAAAAGATTTTGACCTGTCAAAAACCCAACCCTAGTATGCAATACAGAGTACAGACTACAATCCGTTTTGTTGAGCTCGAGTAAACTACGAGTGTACTGGGCTATAAAACTGTATGCAGATGTAAAATTTAGTTTAATTCTGCCTATTTTATTAAAGAACACACAATTAAATTAATTAAAGTAAACCAAAATGTATCTTATTTGAATACATTTCAAATAGAACTAGAATAATTGTAATTTCTATATCTTAAAAAAAAAATGATAAGTATCTGCCACATTCCAGAAGACATGAGTAAATTAATTCAACAGAAAATATTATGTAGGTACCTAAATAGAATAATATTCAACAAATTTCTCTATAACACAAAAATTGTATTGTTGTCCATGACAATTTGTAATATGGACGTTTTCGGACCATTGTAGGTACCTGTATGGCTATATATATATCTTAAAATAATAACATAGGTAATTATCATAGACAATATTATGGACTACAGTACTACACCAGTATAGAGAGATGACAACTCTAATGTAAGCAATGGTAAAGAAATAAAGTACTTTAAAGTATCAAAAAAAAGGTATAGAACAACTAGCAAAAAAGAAATTAGATCTGTACTCCTTAACCATAATGACACAATGGTATCTGAAAATTATGATACAATATTGAAATAGTTACAGAATTTTCAAATGAAAAAGTATGAAAAAAAGTTGTCAACTATAAGTAGCTCAGCCGTAAAGTATGTGTATTTCAGTATTAGTATACTATTGGATGTGTATACATCATTGAGTAAGTGGTTACTGTAATGGATGAGTTAAATTTGAATTCAATGATAAATCATTATAATATAACTACAATGAAAAACGATTCTGAGCGCAGACTGCCTACCTTTATCCTAATCAGTCAGTCAGCTATTATTGTTATTAAAGACGTTTTTTTGCTATTAGTAACAAAGTAGGTTGAATTAATTGTTGCTGAAAACATTGCATTTTAAAGTCATTGTGTGCATAAAATAAAATAATATACTTTAAAAGTTTCAACTTTTAAAGTACCTACGAGGCTACGAATAATATTTTTAAATTACAATAAAATAATTGAATAAATAGATAAATACAGTGGCCTATTTAGGATTTATTTGATAATGGTCAATGGATATATGACTAAATTACTATTTCTTAAAACATTTTTAACTAGAAGATGGTTTGCACATTTTCGTAAATTTTACCTCCTAAATGCACAAACTAGATTCACTATTACCTACCTACTGAAAAGATACTGAGGTTGAAAATCGAAGCTTTATTTCGACTACTATGTGTGATGTCGCTCTGCTGTACAGTAGGTTACAAGTGGGTCACTACTCACTGTATAGGTAATGGATGGTATTAAATTTGAATTCAATGATATAATATCATTGTATAAGAAAAACGATTCTGAGTGAAGACGGTATGTGAGTCTAGGTATAAGACATATTATATACATATCTATGGTATTAAAAAAAAAATTGACCTATAATAGTACCTATACTAAATTCCAAATTAATCATATCACAATATCCATTAGGTACTTATAACGCGTTATACATCAACAACAAACCCTGATACTATCATAGATATATAATAGTACACTTTAGAAGTTTCAAGTACCCACGAATAATATTATACAATCACAACAAAATAACTAAAATAGTTATTCTGGATTTTTTTTTTTTTTGTAATTTCGTCCAAATTTGAACTTAAAATGACTATAAAAATAAACTGTGCATGTGTATTTTTTAGATTTTTTGGTAACATAATTAACTACTTACCGTAGGTATTTATTTCCATGATTTTATATCATCATTCTTTGATGTACATATAACCACAGATATATATATAATATTATTATTATATATTTATATATATCTGTGCATATAACATACAAAATATATATATACATATACATTTATTTAGAAAAATGTCTACTTAACAAACAAAGTTTTATTTATATTTTTTAGAAAAAAAACTAAAAAAAAATGGAAAATGAAAATGTCCCTAAACAGTTCCAAATAAACCAAAATATTTTGAAAAGGTTATCGTGCATAGAAAAGGCAAATATAAAAAACCAGTCAAAATTTCATGTTCCTACAGTCATTTGTTAAAGAGTTGCACCAAAAACCAAAATCGATTTTCTCGAAAACAGATTTTGCGTAAAAATTCCCGTTTTTCCTTAATTTCCTGCGGGAATATAATTTATAAGGATACGTTTTTCAAAGGAAATATAAAACTCGGGAACTATTAAAATCAGGAAAATATTTTTCAGAACCAACTATTTAATTTACACTTTTAATTTTAGTTCTAATTGTATCAATTTTGTAACATTTAATTTTTATACTGCACATTATGCAAAGATTATTATTACCTACTGGTACAGTGGTACATGTATTATACATAGTATAATAATAGTATAGTATTATGTAATATGTATTTTCCACACATGCACATATGTATTCCAACTATTAATTACCAATTTATCATGGTGATAATAATTTCTTAGGGATAATAATTTTCTATATATATAAAATATATATTATGTATGTTTTTGCGCTAATGAAATATAATAATAGTTAATCGAAAACCACAGAGCAACAGCCCATCGTGCTACATTTAAAATGAGACAGGGGCAAAATAGCCACATTCATACAATCATACCCGCGTGTAAAGGGGTTTGATATAGGCAATTTATTTTTTTGTTTAGATTTTTACATCGTTGGTACTCGGTTGTTACTTATTAGAAGAATAGAACCGCACTAGTTGTAGGATTTTTAAGTAGTTGTAGACACATCAGTACCTACATCACACATATTATTATTTATATTTATATATTTATTTCCAAATTAAATCCATATTTATTTTTGTCAACGAGAGTCCACGCGTTTAAGTGCAAGTGGACTGTATGTTTGACGTGTAGGTACGCATATCACAAATTAACATTTAACAAATATTAAATTTAATTCTTCCATTTAAAATTTACTATTTAAAAATTCAAAAAATATAAGTTTAATATTATTGACATGTTTTTTTCATAAGTAGTTGCACATGCAATGCATGAATAC